GGAGTAATTCCATATATTGATGACTGCTGCCTTGAATGCAAAATCTTACCTTACATGTACATTCTCACGTCTGTTGTGATAAGTCTCAAGCATTGCCTAAGTTTATCGATGTGGAGGGGGAAAAGGAGTTTCCACACCGGAGTAATATTTAACGTCATTAATCCCTCATAAAAAGGCCGCTTGTGTCTGTATTTTAATGTAGTTGCCCATTTAAACCACCAGATGCCGACGTGATGTTTTGTGACTCATATCACCTCTTTTGTTCAGTTTAGTGCTTAGAAAGAGTACAAGAAACAATAAAAAGTCACTTGTTCAGTTCCCCTGTATTATGATCTGTTTTTTATATTTTCTACTCACTAGCCTGTTTATACAATGTGAATTACCTTTGTTATATAGACCACTGATAAATGCGACTTCAGAAGTTTGAAAAGAGCTTAAATCTGATTCCCAGAGTTGATGTTGTTCCTTTTTCATGGGGGGAAAAACATACTGTACATCGAGACATTTGGCGATTTCAATTAAGATGTGCTATAATATGCTTTAGTACCTAAACCAGTCGTCCTGAGTTTTTGCAGTAGCCAAATATAATTGGTGAATATCAGCTTGGCTACTATTATGAGAAATCATGAAGTGAAAACGATTTTCTTTGTTTAGTTTTTTGTGTTTTATGAATGTTTAAAAGTCATAAATGGTAATCCAACACAGTAGCATGGAAGCAGGGACCACAACCGCACACAATCCGGCGAAGCAAAATATAATGTGAAATTATTTATATATATATATTCGCCGAGCGGCGCTCTGATTGGCTAGTCTCATCTCTAGCTCAGGAGCCAGCCAATGGGGAAGTTGACTTGTTTGTGTGAAGCAAGCAGTGCAAATATAAAATCGAGAATAAGAGATGTTGGAATATAAACTGATGTATGAACATAACCCAAAGATTGAACTCGGCACCAGAAGGTTGTTTATACCTTTTCTACTCTGAAGACAGGCGAAGCAAGGATTTGGTGAAGAAAATAGGTAGGCCTATGACTTTTTATAAGGATGCTCTGTTGTAAGTTTACCTGTTAAGGTTGTTGATATTGTATTAGTAGCCTATTGCATTAGTTCACACAATCATTTATAAAGAAGTATTTTTGTTTTAACCCGATTAGATATTGGGTTTTTTTTATGTTAGATTTTTTTTTCATTATTCTGCCACATGACAACTATAGCACATTTTCACCATTCTCCAATAACTGTATTTTATCATGTCAGTGCATGTTTTTGCGTTATGAACTGTAGCTGAACTGAGACGTGTTGATTGATTTCTATATAATGCGGTGTATTAGTTTTATGCCGCAACTTTGTTCAATGTCTACCGCAAGCAGCTGTGTATTACATTCTACTTGCACTAATAGCTTCGACAGTTGTTTATTTCCGAAAAATGCTTAATGGTTGTCATGTACGTGGCGTTTTATTTTATTCTTCTTGTTATACGGGCTTTTACATCTGCCGTCAGAAACCGTGTTTTGCAGTTTCATATCATGAATGGGAAATAGAACTGCTTGTACATCATATATGAGGTATATATTACAATATCCGCATTTATACAGCAAGTATTTATTTAGACTAGTGCAGAACAATAGTGTGAAGCGATAACCAGGAAGTGCGTTTATCGCGTCTGTTATTCTGGGCAGAGGGTGTATACACGGAACAGCTGAGTTCTGTATGCATGAGGAAGGAGGGGAGAGGGGGGTACATACACACAGGCGGAGGCAATGATGATGATGATGAAGACTGTCCAGTTCAGACCAGTTTTAGGGCTGCTTGTTTTCCGCAGGATACTGTTATCGTTAACACAAATGAGACACCGCGCGCAAATCAGAAAAGAAAATCCAACCAGTAAAACGACCCATTTCCAATGCCTTTTATGAATCTTAAATGAACATATAAAACAGTTTGTACAATATTTCTATTTGCATCCAACAAACCGCATCGCTTATGCAAAGCAAACAGAATCGAATTGTATAATTATGACGCAATGTCACTTCCCCCATGGTTAAATAGATTTTGCACAAAGATATCAGTAGCACAAAGCATCGACTCGCGCCGCACTGGTTCGAACCGGCTGGATCTTGGTCTCACGTGGAGCTGCTCTCTGAATCTGTTTATCGCGTAGCCAATGAGGGGAGAAGCGAACATTCGAACAGCCAATCGGAGGATAGCGAGGCGAGACTAGAGGCGGGCAAATGGGCGGGGTTTCCATCAACAACATTCTCTTTTGGAACTCAGCTGTTTTTTTTTTGTTTATGAGCTGTTTTGTAGCTAAGCGAGACAAAGAAACAGGATATAAATGATGTTCGGTGGGAGTTACGGTTACAACAAACTGGCAACAAATGAACATTCACTATATGCTGTGAAAAACAATGTTGTGAAATCGTTGGGAGAATAAAACAAATAAAAATGTAAAATGTATCATTATACATGTATTTAATATGTACATGTGCTTAAATTTAAGAATATTATTTAATATTTACCATTAAATATCTAATACCCAACTCTTTTGCCACTTTCACAGGATTTCCCAAAGTTTAGGGGGTTTTCCTCTGTATTACCAGCACAGACTGTTATCATCTTCTTCAGTCATGGCTCCCTCACTGGCCACAGCCTTCTCCAGGCGATGGTGGATGGCGATTACTGCGGTGATCGAAAACCTGTTGTTCTCTGCTGTCCTGCTCGGATGGGGCTCACTGCTCATTATGCTAAAATCAGAGGGGTTTTACTCCTACCTCTGCAGAGAACCAGGTAAGGAAGGGGAGAAAAGAGTGCACTCAGTGCAGGTTACAGAAACAAAATTTATTGACACTCATAAAGACATTAAATGCACTATAGATGCCAGATTGAATGCTGCAAATATTTACGTGAACATCAAAGGAAAATGGTACCTATATACCATGTTAAGGGCTTTAATAGCTTTGTTTTCACACTTTCCCCACTCAGATTTGAACAATAAATGTTTGGCTGCTTGACCTAAAACATCTTTGGGATGCACTTGCATTAAACACTCTAACAAAGATGTTCATTTGACCTACAGCATTTTTCTTATTTCGCAACAGAGGCTGCTCTTTAAAACTGCAAGAGTTTATAGATTTTATAATCACTTCATTGTGTGAGTGAATGTAATACAGCATTGTGAAAAACAAAATCTCAGTTGTCTGGCGCCCATCGCAAGGCTTGTGGAGGAATCTAAACCTGAATATCAATCGATCACTAAGAGTCAGTGCACCTTATTTGGAAGCCTTCAAGCTTGTGTTGCCATTAGGAATTACAAACAGCATCTACAAGCTTGTTTGGCATCAGAACGTTGGCAAAGGGGGGCTAGATAATTTGAGCTCCGTCACAGAGTTGATTTCATGGTAAACAGTCTAGAGGACATCAATCTGCTTAGCTTATTATATAATACAGTAAAGAATCTTTCAAGTGCAGCTGTATCTTCTTAAGGTCTTAATATGAAATAAATATTTGAATCGAACAATACATCTTAAGAAAACTTCAGAGGGACAGTGATATGCTAGACTAATTGGTTAGAGATGAGTATTTGTGTATTCTGAATACGTTACCAAACACACTCGGTGATACATGAATTAAGGGTTTTCTGAATAGCTGAAGACCACTTAATAAAGATGGAAGCCAACCGGTGCATAAACTTATAATTATTCATATATTGTTCTTTAAAAGCACAGGCAGTGCACTTACACAGTATTTTTGTCCTGTTTTCCAGTGTAAAACAACTTTCTTAAATCAAGATTTATTTACTTGAGGTGCAAAATGACTCAAGGTATTGTCTTGTTTTAAAAGAAAATGAAGAACGTTTAATACAAAAAATATTTTAGCTCAAAAGGAACTTGAAAGAGAAGTTTTTTTTCTTACAACATTTGGCAGATATTTGTTTTTCTTGTTTTAAGTATAAAGTCAATTATTTCAAAATTATTAAAAGCAAGACAAAAATACTGAGTACAAAAATGATTTCTGCTGCTTAATTAATCCAGATGAATGTGGACTCTTACCCGGAAACATACTGTTCAGGTCTGCTTAAAACTCTTACAACACAATAATGTGTGTCTGGTACATCTACGAACAGTGTGTTCCTACTGATGTCCAAGATTAACTTTATTTATTTATACAACCTGTATCCATTTATTTACATCATGTACTGATGCCCTTAAAATCATATTGCACCATTGCTAGTGGAGTTCATGTAAATGTCATTGTCATAGGGCAAAATTGCTCAGAGGTAAGAAAAAACACGGAAGCCATGTGTCCCATAACCTTTTGGGTATGCAAAATAAATATATCCAACATATATATGAGAGGTAAAAAGTGTGCAATAATGAATAAAAGCTATGCTATTTGATTTTTGTTGACCTCCTGTCTGTTCTTAATGTGTACTGTCAGGTGGTTGCTGGCAATTTGACATGGATGCTAATGGTTTCATAATATCAGCTTGTTGGCACCAGTCTGAGGTTTCCTTTGGAGCGTCATGTCTTGTTCTTCAAAGACTTCTTTCTGTGCTGCTTTGATTGTGACTTTTTCAGGGAACGAGGTCAGGAGACTCAACCATGTGGGTTACGAGTCCGACTCTCTAACCATTAAGCCACGACTTCCCCTATTCAAAATGTAGGGATTGATGCTATTTTTTGTGTGTTATGACAGATACCCTTTATTGTTGTTTTACACTACAATGACATTTGTGTTTTCTCTGTTCCGGTGGCCGTGACTTTGGGACTGTTTTGTCTCCGGTAGATTCTTCTGGTCTTATTGACTCCACAAAGTATCGCTTTACTTAGAGACTACCAGTGTTTGTCAAAAACTTTTAATGTTTTGTTTCCATCCCTAGTCAATTTCATTGCAGAGCGATGCTAGCGTTATAATACAAGATAAGTGTAGTGTCAGTAGGGTATTTTTTTCATCACGTGACCAGCTGGTGAATGTCTGTGAAAGCAGAAGAACATAGTGTTGTTAAAACAGTCTCTTGGTACTTCACATGTTACTCAACTCCAAGAAATATCCATTACTCTCCGTCTGACAGGCCCATCATGTGGAGCTCTGTTCGTCGTTGGCTCTGTTCCACAGTCCATTAGCCAAAACCGTTCCTGCACAGCCTCTCCAGCCACAGGCACAATGCCGCCTAGAGCCGCTGGGTGTGTGAGAGGTATTGTAAGTGTCATCTGGGATGTTTTGGCTCTGAGATGACCTTTACTCTAATTAGAGGCAGTGAATAGCGTCTGGGTTGGGTTCCAACAGAGAGATTTCCTTCATTCTTGTCTTTACCAAGCTTTTGGACTGTGAAGCAAGCGTGAAGTGGAAGATGTCCAGAGAGTTCTTAGAAAATCTTGAACTGTGTGTTGTGGAGGAGATGCCATATACAGTAAGACGCTGTCAGCTGTCGACAGGTGGGAAGTAGATGGAGGATTTGTATACGGAGAAAATGGAAATTACCTAGAAAATAAGGAACATGTACTAGAACAATATGACACCCTGCAAGTCTAATAAAAAAACAGTACAATTTAAAAAAAATAATGGTGTGACATACTATACTCCAAATACAAAACTATTTACAAAGAGAATTTAGCTAATTATTTTACATTTATTATACATTCAGGTTGACCACAATAAGAGACTATATGGAACATTTGTACTTAATTAAAATGTAATTGTGCTTAATTGTATTTATTAAAATGTAAAAACTTTTACATGCATTACTAAATTACTAAAGTGTAAAAAGCAAAAAAAAAAAAACGTTTTTAATTATAAAAAGTCACTTATAAAATTATATGAATTAATTACTTTATTTATTAATTGTATACTTTTTTATTCACTCCTATTTTGTTTTTTTATTATCTGTGACTTGGTTTGTTTATTTTTTATTTATTTTACATTTTTGTGTGTGAGCGGAGCTCCTGTCACCAAGATGAATTTCAATTTGAATAAATGTAAAAAAAAAAATTTAAATGCACGTTTTAAATAAATCAATTAAAAATAAATAAATAATAATAAAATCATTTAATAATAATTCAATTAAATGACAAATATTCAAGAGTGCTGTAGACTAATGATCTTTAAGAATATTCTCCTGAAGAATACTATTGAAGAATACACTCTTGCTCTCTCTGCCCCACTTAATTCTTAAATCTTAGGCGTTCAGGCTCTCTTCCTTCCTCTATATATTCTTGGTGGGGTCTGACAGTTGTTTACCCTGACAGTGCAGTTTGGAACAGCGAGTGCTGTACTCCTCCGCCCAGCTCAAAGGCAGCAGCGTTATGCAAGCTTCTCCAGTGTCCCTCACACTTTCTCTCGCTGCTAAAAATATTCCCGGCTTGCAGTTGCCTTTCAAACGATGTCCCCCAACCTACATGCTGCTCCCACCAGAGAATATCACTGTTACCCTGATGTAATGTTTACTTTCATACCTTCTGCTATATCTGACATGTTTTGTCATTTACAGCGGCTCCTGTTACAAGAAATCTGTGTTTGTTTTGCTTGTGGCTCGAATATTATGTTCACAATATAGATAAATATATTTGCTTTTTATACTCATCATGACCAGTGTTGTGGGTAACGCATTACAAGTAACGCGAGTTACGTAATCAGATTACTTTTTTCAAGTAACTAGTAAAGTAATGCATTACTTTTTAATTTACAAGAGAATATCTGAGATACTTTTTCAAATAAGTAACGCAAGTTACTTTTTTTTTCAATTTATTGACTGACAGCTCTCCTGTCCCCATGTTGAGAGAAATCAGATGTCACTGTAGTTCTAAAATAAATATGAATATGCATTAATTCATCTCACTCACAAAAAAAAACACAGATTCAGTATTCCTCAAAATGAATAAAAATAATGCAACTCAGAATATGACGCAAACCTGCAAAAATTAAATGTATTTTATGTATTTAATCCCATTCTATTAACCAATGTCTTTGCTTCTGACCCTCGATGATCCAGTTCAACCATACTAATAAGCAAAAATGACTGTCAAAAAATTTGTCTTTTTTTTTTGTTGCTGAAGTGTGTTGAAATTTCTTCTTCTGCATTCTACTGTACGGATGTAAATTTACTTTCCCTTCAGCCTGAGGCTTATTCATTTCACTTTGGGTGTGAAAAGGCTTTTATATTTGCCAAAAACAGAACTTTTTTATTTTAAAAACAAACAAGCAAGCCCTGTCCAGATTTAAAAAGTAACGCAAAAGTAACGTAACGCATTACTTTCCATAAAAAGTAACTAAGTAACATAATTAGTTACTTTTTTACGGAGTAATGCAATATTGTAATGCATTACTTTTAAAAGTTACTTTCCCCAACACTGCTGACGGACACTAGGCCCAAGTACAGTCACTAAAAATGTTAACATATTTTTAATGCACTTGAAGATTTTTAATCCCGTTTGTCTCTTCTGTAGCTTCCCAACATGTTTGGTGATCTCCGCTCTACTTTCATCGCACTCATGATTGGCTCGTACGCCTCATCCGCTGTCACCTTCCCAGGAATAAAGGTAAATCTGAGTCCCAGGTTTGACTTATTTAAGAAGCCGAGCTTAAATCAGTGATATTGATGATGATTGTTGCTCTATCAGGTGATCTACGACCTCGGTATTGCCTTAATCACCATTCTTCTGGTGTGGGCTGGCTGTGCCGGCCTGGTCTTCATCAACTGCTTCTTCAACTGGCCACTCGAGCCCTTCCCAGGACCTGAGGACATGGATTTCACGTATGTAGTTCAGCGTCTGTGCATTGCTGTTGTTTTTTTAAGGAATTAGTACTTTTATTGAGCTAGGATGCATTAAATTGATCAAGAGTGACAGTAAAGTAAATATAAAAAGAGTTATTTTAAATTATAATAATATTTCACAATATTACAGTTTTACTGTATTTTTAATTAAATAAATTTTACATATTGTGTATCTCACGCTGAAATTTGTCTCTTTAACAGTGTGAAGATCAAGTTCAGCTGGCTGGGCTTTGACCATAAGATCACAGGGAAACAGTTCTACAGGCAGGTGACCACCGTTGGTCGGAGGTTGAGTGTTGGCAACTCAATGAAGAACAATCCACAACAGCTGGCCGCTCAAGATGGCAATAAACTCTGCCTATCAACCCTCGATCTGGAGGTCCAGTGCAAGTCTGAGGAGGAATGTGAGTATCATTCTTACTGACATGTTTTTATTGACCAGTGTAATTTCTGACGATCTAAACAGTCTGAAACCACATTAAAATCTGTGATTTTTTTTTTAATGTTGAAATAAAAGTTTTAGGATATTGATTTATAAAGGGTTAGTTCACCCAAAAATGAAAATTCTGTCATTCATTACTCACCCTCATGTCGTTCCAAACCCGTAAAACCTTCGTTCGTCTTCAGAAACCTAATTAAGATATTTTTGATGAAAGGTAAAATAGTCCATGTGACATCAGGGGTTCAACTGTAATTTTACGAAGCTACGGGATTACTTTTTGTGAGCAAAGAAAACAATAATAACATCATTTATTCAGAAATTCTTCTCCCCGAGTTACAGTCTTCTGCCATTTTGGAGAGTATCCCAGAACGTAATCAACGTAATGAGCGTTGTTTACATTCAGCATGCGCGTGCTTTCTACTGAACGTAAACAACGCTGAATACGCTAATTACGTTCTGGGGTACTCTCCAAAATGGCGGAAGACGGTAATTCAGGGAGAAGAATTGTTGAATAAATTATGTTATTATTATTTTCTTTGTGCACAAAAAGTATTCTTGTAGCTTTGGAAAATTACCGGTTTAAACCCCTGATGTCACATGGACTATTTTACCGATGTACTTGCTACGTTTCTGTGTGTTGATCGTGATATCCTTGCTGTCTATGGAGGATCAGAGAGCTCTCAGATTTCATCAAAAATATCTAAATTTGTGTTCCGAAGATGAACAAAGGTCTTGCAGGTTTGGAACGATATGAGGGTGAGTAATTAATGACAGAATTTTCATTTCATTTTTCGGTGAACTAACCCTTTAAGTTTTAGGAAATTTTAAACAAAGAAAATTTAAGTAAAAATACTTAAAATAAAAATAAGTAAGAGATATTAGAAATTCAATCAAATTGGTCAGGTCAGATGCTCTTGCACCAAACACAATTCATGTTCATTTTTCAGTTTAATTCATTTCAAATCATTCATATTGATTTGCTGATAAAATGTTTTTTTAAAGATAAATAATTAAAAAAATATTTTAATAAATTAAAACAGTATGTCAGTCAGGTTTTATTTTAATGAGCTGGTGACATGAGTGCCAACTGCCAAGTAATTAAAAGTTCTCTGTAATGCAACTTGATTGTTAATTATGAAGGCAGAATAGTGGTAATCAGATTACCAAATCTCATTTATTTCCATTGTTTTAATGTCTTGAACAAAGTCCTTGTTCATCAAATTGAAGTGATTTATGTAATCCTGAATTCATGCGTATTTCAGAAAGAACTGGACAGAACACAGAGAGACTTGGCTCTTGCCATTGTACAGCATCTTCCCCCTGGCTGCGTCCAGACATGCAGGGAATATTCGAGCAGACAGGGGGCGGTGTTAATGAATGCTCCTCAGTAAATCCCCTTTATTGTGCTTGGGGATTCCTTCATTAGCCATGCACATGGTTTCTGACATCTGGAGGTTGCCAAACCACTGGAGGCTGCAGACACACGCTGCGTTTGCACTTTGCTTCTACTAACCCAAATCTGTGACGTGCAATTATTCCAAATTCACCTCAAACTTGTCAGAATACTGCAAACTCACTCACTCCCCACCGGCACCTTTTTTTTGGGTTCTGCAGCCCTCTGCGGGGCTCCCGGTTGGGCTCTTTTGTAGTAAACGGAGCGTGCAATCGATTCAGACTGCGTTTCTGGAGGACCCATGGCACTGGTGTATGTCTGGGGCTAAAATTGGCAGAGGTGGAGACAGTGGCGAGGGAGAGGGCAGATAGCGCCAAGGAGCTGTTTTAGAGACGCTGCTGGAGATGTTTGAGAAAGAGAGACTGATGCTGATCCCGGCTTACTGTCATCCTTAGAGTGCTAATGCCTTCACCACCCTGTGTTTCCATTACTGCAGTCTATTACTGACTCATTGTCAGCGGCTGGAATGTGTGAGTGTGTGTGTGTGTGTTTGTGTACTTAGGGACATAATGAGGCAATTTGTTTGTGTGTGTGCATGTGTTCCAGAGCATATCAGGTGTGTTGAGGTCAGATTCCCAATGTACCAGGTAACAGGCACTGTAAAAGGCCTCTCTAGTGCTGGTCAGTGGATGCATTTATGGCACTCAAATTAGTGTATTATTAACAAACCCAGACCCCCAAGCCTCTGTGTTACTGTGCTAGGCATTGAAGTGTTGCCTGGCCATCCAAACACCCACAGAATTATTTTCCATGTGAACAGAACCCTGTGGGCCCTGCATGCTTTTGCCATTTTTAAAGGCATTGAAGCATCCTGGTTAAATTGAGATGACCGAGTTCACAGTGGTTTTCCATGGAAAGATGCTTTTGGAAATGGCATGGCAGTACGAATAGTTGCATAATTGAAGGCGTTGGGTGTCCAATCACAGTGTACAATTTTGAACGGTAACTATAATTTTCTATAATAAAAATGATTGTTATTGATGATAGTTTTATTGAATTTTTATTTTATTTTATTTTTTATTTAGGCAGTAAGCTATTCATTGCATATACATACACGTACACACTTACAATCCTTTTTTTTTTTAAAGATTTTTCATATACATTTTTTTTGTTAAAATGTTTGTAATGTTATGATTCATTTTGTAGCTGTATAGTTTGGTTCAAGGCTTAGACCTCTATATTGAAGCTTTATTTGAAATGCCTATGGAGAAAATGACTGGGAAATGGGAAAAAAGGCTGCTAAAAGGCACTATTGCACTCTAGTCTTTTCCTCTTACAGCTTCCTTCTTAAATGTTCTCTAATATCACACGCTGTGATTGGCTGCCTAACACTATTAATCATGTGTTTAATATGTAGTCGGATGGCCACAGCAGGTTCACGTTGCTAATTCCTTGCTGTCTGTCTCTTGTCCTCTGTTTGCACTCTCTTCTGTCATGCTGCTTGGTGTGTTTTTTCAGTGGAGAGGATGGAAATGGGTAAGACTGCAGGCAAAATTAGATGCATTCTTGATTCACTCGTCTCAACCTACCCCCCACCGAGTTCCTCCCTCCTTCACCTCCTTTTCCACCTTCATTTGACATTGATTCATGTTGTCATGTAAAAGCATGAACTCGGCCCTGGGTGGTTAGAGACTGACAGTATAATGCCCATCCAATCATTCATCTGTCCACCTAATCTTCATAGGAGCAAGTCATGGGTCATTCTATGAATATTTATATATATTAATGTATATTTTATGAAACAAATCAAATGTTTTAGTGCTAATTAATTGTATTGTTCCATCTCAAGTTATAAAGATTTTTATTTTAATATATTATAGTATATTTTTATGTATACATTAATCCATCCAATTAATACATCAGTCTAATTTGACATTAGGTGCCTTTTTAATTATTTACTTTTACTATTTTGTCCACATTTTTACTTCTTAGTGATTTACCATCTTACTGACTTTTGAATGGTAGCATATCTGTATTCAAATATCTGTATTACAGTAGCACATCATAAACGTTGGCATCATTGTTTGCCGAAATGAACCTCTTTTGATGTAATGACCCTTAAAACAACTTTATTTCTCTCTCAGTGAGCACGTACACGTCTATCTTCGGGGTGCTACAGTTGCTGTGTCTCATGACGGCCCCTGTGATTGGTTACGTCATGGACTGGAGGCTCAAAGAGTGCGAGGACGAAAATGAGAAACAAGTCGCAAAGTGAGTGTAACAATGAGCGTCCTGCTGCCTAATGCATCATTTTGACACTTACCACCAACCAGTCCAATCCGTAATTGTTATTTGATTACAAGTTTAATGTGCCATTGCATCTGTGTAATGCGCTTATGGCTTTTCCTTCAGTGATCCTACTCAGCCAAAGAAACGTGACAGACAGATCCAGAAGATCAGCAATGCCACCCGCGCATTCATCTTCACTAATTTGCTGCTGGTTGGCTTTGGCGTGACCTGCCTGGTGCCCAATCTTCATCTACAGGTAACTGAGAGCAAAACATCAGTCTCGTTGTCTGCAGGATGATGATAAAGTACCCAATGGGAGAGAAAGTGGTGCAGAGCCACTAACATGTTACTGCAGCTGATGGATTGGGATGCAGTAGCACAACAGCGCCCCTCAGTGGCAGCACTAACTCTGACTTTATTTTAAAGCTAGCTACTAGTCATTATTTATGCATAACAAAATCTAGAGTTATTTTTGCTGTGGGGAAGAACTGAGGAACCTTGGTTTCTTTTTTTGCTCCTAGATTTTGTCCTTTGTGTTGCACACCATTGTGAGAGGCTTCATCCACTCTGCCGTTGGGGGTTTGTATGCAGCTGTGTAAGTATGGCTTTGTGTTTTGGGTGTGGATTGGAGTTGCTTTTAATCATGATTAAAGAACAATGTTTTTTTTTTTATGAGTGCAGGTACCCGTCTTCTCAGTTTGGAAGTCTGACGGGAATGCAGTCCCTCATTAGCGCACTTTTTGCATTGTTGCAACAGCCTCTCTTCATGGCCATGATGGGTCCACTGGATGGAGATCCACTCTGGGTGAGCAGACAGTCTGTTACTTATATTTAAAGCGATAATTCATCCACAAATGAAAATTCTGTCCTAATTTATTTACCTTCATTTTCTTTCATTCATGTAATAAAGGCAGAGTAAAGGCCTGTTCACAGCAAGAATGATAACTATAAAAATAACGATAAAAATATAGTTCTGAAAATCGTTCTCAATATTAAAGAGTAGCAGAGTCCACACCACAGCTATAACTGAAAAAAAATGGGCGATATCGTCCACTGGTGTGGACGCTAATATAGTTATTTTTATAGTTATTACTCTCGGTGTGAACGGGCCTTAACACTGGCAAAAATTTCTATTTTTTTCTCACAATTCTGAGTTTTTATATAGCAATTTTGACTTTTTTTCTGAATTCTGAGTTCACATATCGCAATTCTGTTGCCGCCACGGAATAAAACATAAAAAAAGGTCATTGCAAATTTAAACTCAATTCTCGCAATTGCAAGTTTACACCTCTCAATTTGGATTTTTCTTCTCAGAATTACGAGTTTATATCTCATCTGGCAATTCAGACTTTTTTTCTCAGAATTCTGAATTTAAATCTTGCTATTCTGAGTTCATATCGCACAAAGTCGACATAAAATGGAAAATGTACCTATTGTTTAACTGCATTTTACTGATCTCATTGTGATCAGTTCACCCAGGGGCGTAGATTACGTGTCCCCCCCATTTTTAATATCACGTAAATTCGTCCCCCGCACTTTTTCAGGCAAGTGTGTTCGCATAGAGGTTTTCAAGAGCCGGTGTGAATAAATATTGTATATGAACAATGCAGTGCTAACTGACATAGCATTTATTACAGTATTGAAACTATTCTGCCTTATTATGTGATAAAAAAAAGTGTTTGTAGTATATAAACAAATCATTATTATTGGTTATTGTCCAGCAGTTATCTGATTTCTAAGCCAATTAAAAGCTAGAAATGAGAGAAAAATTAAAGTTGACTATACACCAGTCAAAAGTTTTTGAACAGTAAGATTTGTAATGTTTTT